TCGGTTATCAATGACCGCTAAATAGATTATTCGCATTTTTTTACAAGTGTTAACAATTTAACGTAACATTATCAACATTCATATAAAGTACCATTAACAATATCCTATTGAATAACGTTGACAATGTCCTATTGAATAGATGAAAACTGATGATAATTATTTTGAGGACGATATCAATAAACTTTAGTAATGAAAACATAAGGGATGAAAATGTTATCACTAATAATGAAATCATAAATCATTAACAATTATATTCTAAACACGAACAATGTCATCATGAATAATTGATAATTACCATCAAAACATGAATAATATTGGTTAATAATATTGATAATTCCTTCATAATAGTTGATAACAATAAACAAAAACCCCACAATATGCTTTCTCAAACGTGCAATAAATTTGCATATCATATACAAATTCTTCCATCCGGTTTGATAATGATGGTGCATAACATTCATAATTCCTTCTAGCTTTCTCAAACGTGCAATAAATTTGCATATCATATACAAATTCTTCCATCCGGTTTGATAATGATGGTGCATAACATTCATAATTTCTTCTAGCGATAACAATATCAATAATATAATTTTTCAAGACGTTAATAAACTTGACTTGAAAATGTGAAACCGATAATATACTTTCTCAATATTATCCAATATAAACAAACAAACATTAATAATGGACATCGATGCATTGATAACGACAGTCTAAAACATTAATAACTTATGTGTGTCACGTTGAAAATACAAGCAAATCATTTATAATGATTGAATTTGTATGGTTAATAATCATAGTACAAAAACATTAATAATTAAGTTGTGTTTCATTTGAAATGCAAGCAATATCATTGATAATTATCAAAATTAATGATCGTCAACCACACTACATATTATTAATGATTCCTTCTCAAATATTGATACGCTTATAGCAACCTGTTGATAGTGATACGAATTATGATACTGATTATTATGGAAACGTTAATAACCACAATATATTTCATTAACAATGCCTATATTAAAAATTGTTAACAATGCTTGGCGCCTATATATACCAAATCGTTATCAACGTAAAACATAAACAATCTATTATAAAAAGTTAACAATCAACCATGAAAAGATTAATAATCCCCAAATAGATGCAACAACACGAAAAAAAATCTTTAATAACCATACAATGAATCGTTGATAATTACTTCACAAAATGTTAATACAGAGATCCGCTTAGGTTAAGAACCACACCCACGATGTATAATCTACTGAGAAGATGTCGACGGGAAGCTTCAACGATGGAATGCCCGACGTTGTGAAGCTGCTCCTCCCGGTGGGATTAGCGGCGTTGAAACAATGGAAGGGAAGAGGCTGCAAAGCTGCGAGTTGAACTAGATTCACGATGCTACAAACAACAGAAGGAAAGCAGTTTAGAAGTTGCGGGTTTGACGAGATTCGCGGCGCTGCAGGCGGATGGAGAAGCTGTAGGCTCCTCGTGTGCGTCACTGCAACGATGGGAGGAAGACGCCGGGAAGTTGCTCCTTCCGACGAGAATCACGGCGCTGTAATGATGGAAGGAAAACGCCGACGGCGAGAAGGTTTAGGGGCAATGTTATATGACTTTAATGATTCATTCACAAGCATTGATGACAAAAATGTAAAACAGTAATAATTGATCCAAAATTGTTAATAATGTAATTGTAAAAAATTGATAAGTAAATTGAAAGTATTAATAATGATTAGATATAGTAATAATTATTTATTTCATAAATGTTGATAATGTCATTGCAAAACGTTAATACTACATTGCAAGTTGTCTCAAAATGAGAGAGAGCATGTATTTTTAATTTCATAAAAGTTAATAATATCATTGTAAAACGTTAATACTATATTGCAAGTTGTCTCAAAGTGAGAGAGAGCGGGTATTTTTAATTTCATAAAAGTTAATAATATCATTGTAAAACGTTAATACTACATTGCAATTTGTCTCAAAGTGAGAGAGAGCGGGTATTTTTAATTTTCATTTTAAGAAAGAAAAAACATTAAGTCCGAATTTATTAAATATTAAATACTAATATTTAATTTAATTAATTCCGAATTTCCTTTTAATGATAGTGACGAGAGAGGGTAATGTAGAAGGTTACGGAAGAGAGAGAAATAAAATCATTAATTATTAGTATTAATTATATTTGCATAATACCCCATTTACCCTCAACTAACAATTAACTACTAACCACTATTAACTACCTAATCCACTATTAGCCAATAAGAATGACTTAAGAAAATGCTTAAACTTATAGGTTTAAGCACCGGATCCAACCCGTGGTTTCCTCCATTTTTTTTAACATGCAACCATAGTATGTCACATTTTACCATATGGTAACAAAGTAAAATACAATAGGACTTACGGTTTCATCAATTTTTTAGCGCATTACAAATCTTAATACCATATGGTAACGATTCTACACCAGTTCAGCAATGTATGGTAACGATTTGGTAATGTAGCGAGTTTACTTCAATTTTCACATGAAGAGTGACTGAAATACTGTTTCTATTGTTTTGTGGATGGATTTTGAAGAAAGAAACGAGGTTTTACCTTGATATTTTGTGCGAAAACGATTTTTGAGACTCGCTGAAGTTGGAAACCCTTCTTTTTCAGACGAAGAAGTGAGAATAGTGTATTGTTGAATGATTCTTCGAAAACCTTTGCGAAAATCCTTCGATTTTGAAGTTTCTTTTGTGTTTTCTGAAGTTTTTGGTTGTGCGAGAGTCAGTCAATTCCCTGCTTTGTACTGGAATTCATTCTAGTAGTGGAGATCTGTGTGAATCGCCTTAGCAGTCTATCCCGGTGAAGGCTAGTCGCATGCCGGGTATTCTGTCTAAGAGGGCTTGGTCAGCTTAAGAGATTCCAAGCAAATTTAATTAGGATCTTCCGCAGTTTAATCAACAGTAAAACATCCAAAAGGAATTACGCCTTTGACCTAATTGAGGAGCTAGGGGGAATCATACCTAAGTGAGTTCCCAACCTGTAATTAGTAGAGTAGGTTAGTAAATCAATCCTTAATTTAGTTTGCTAGATAATGAACTGAAGCTGAGTAATAGTAACAATAGACACCCGTGGATTCGATATTTATTACTTTTTTCACTATACTGCAGTCTCTTTCATTGGTTACACTTGGTCATTGTAAGGAGTTGTGTCGTAGCGTGTCACTCGCTCCGTTCTGTCCACTGTGCAAAACCAAGCGATGATGCCACTTGATAAACCCCAGGTAGGGCTTGCAATCAGATGCACGCAGCTATTGGATTTGCAATCCAATTTCTCTCGAAACAGTAAGTGAATTGGATAGGTTTGCGGAGTAGCTCTTTCGTGCAATTGCTCACAAGGGCAAAAGGCTCGAGAAGAATCAGATGAATGCTGGCCACGATCAAGAGGGAATAGCTTGATCGATACAACAACGAGTGCCCTCGAACTCGTTCTAAGCAACTCTTAATCACTAATACAAAACTTGTGAACCAAACTTGACGTTTGTCTTCGATTAAGCAAAAATTGAGTTTACAACACAATTGAACAATCTTAAATAGACTTAGGCTAGCTAACAAACTTAATACGAAAGTTCTATTCTCAAACAAACAAGGAAATAGAATCAAAACATAAAGGTAAAACTCCAATCGCAATCCTAATCCGAATAGGATTCAGATTCTTGAGGCAACAAGACAGTTTCCTTCAGGTTTCGAAAGATCTTCATGGGCTTCGTTCGATGTCCCCCAAGCTTCGTTCCAGCTATCCAATACCACGTCGTTGGAGTAGAAAAGTTGAACTTTCATGTGGTGCAAGCCGCCAAGCTCGACTTGCATCCAGGAGTTTCGACGAAAGCCTCAAAGTCACCATGTCGACCACGCTCCATGCCTTAGCCGTTTTCTGGCTATTTCCTGATTGCGATGTATGGTTTTGAGGGCCTTCAAACTCGATCCTCCCAACTTCCTTTCGAGCTCCAAACCACTCCTTCGTGTAAAGCAACTTCCTAGCTTCCAAACAAACTATTAAAGTTAAATTTCCATGAAACCAGTAAAGAGTTCCAGACTTGTGAACTTGGTAGTTTGAAACGGTTAAAGGACTTAACCAATTTTCAGTAATGTAAACAATGCTTAAGGTCACTTGTTGTCTGGGCCATTTGAACCTGCTAAAGGACCCAATTGAGATCATATCATTATTTAATTAATTTAGCATTACTGCCTTGCTAGTACAAGAAAATTAATAGATGAAATTAAATTATTTTTCTCCCTTGGAAAACTAAAAATGAAGACAATTAAAACAATAAATTTAATAATGCTAATAATGTGGCATCAACAGTCTTTTACCTCTTTTATTCTTTTTAGGAAATACACGACGAAGATTGAGTTCTGTTATATGGTTTGAAAAAAGTCTAATAAGAAAACAAGTATTCCCTTTATGTGATCTTTTTTCCTTTTGCACATTTCTGGTAATGTTCCTTTAGCTTCCAGACTTACATTTTTTAATAATATTGTTATAGACCCATAATCTAAATCCAACTCATAAATTTTCTATCATTTATAATCGAAACCAAAAATTCGTAATAATAATTAGTAATACACACGATGAGATCCGGAGGCCCCATAATTTGGAGGCCTATGCCGGATGGTTTGCCGGCACACCCTCAGGGCCGACCCTGCATAGAGTGGCGCGTTAATTCTTGATTTTGTCAATTCTAAAGTTAGTGTCTTTTGACTTTTTGAGTTGGCTTCACTAAAGTGTTGTTTGAAAGAGATTTCTAAATAATTTTATTTGTGTAACTCTCGTCCTCTCGATATTAATAAAAAATAAAAAGTAGAGTAGAACTCAAATTTAAAAAACAAAATCAAAAGTAGAAGTGACAATTTTCGTACTATCGGCGTGTCGTTTCATATCTTCCTCGTATAAAACAGAACGAAGTGAAAATAAAATCCCCATATCATTTGGTTGCTACAGTAAGTGGAAAAGAGAACAAAATCATGGCTATTGAAGCGACAGCTGGAACTGGCGGTGGCGGAGGGGGACTTGAGGACGAGCAATTCTACGAGTCTGCTGACCGCATTGCTTCCTCATCTTGCCCTTGCTCTACTTCTCATTCGGAGTCCGATCTGGAACTTCTTCACAACAGTTGCAGTTCGAATTCAAATTCCAGGTCCCCTTCTCCTGCTCTTGACCCTAAATTGAACATCTCCAACTATGACATGTGGGCTTCAGAACCTGGCCCCGTCTCTGAGCGACGTCAGCGTCTCCTTCGTCAAATGGGCCTGTCCTCCGACATTTCCTTCTTCCGCTCTCAGCAACCTAATAAAGATGTCAACTTCATAAGTTCCGTCTCCTGCGATTTTTTAACACCCCAGAGGTTGTTGGGTCCCAGGGATGATGGGGTAACCAGATCAAAATCTGATGGTCCTTCTGGCGGTAGTAGTGACAAGTACAATGACGACTATGATTCTTGTTCTTCATCCTCTTCTTTCCCTTGGGTGCTTGTTTATTCGCCCTCAATTCTTTATGACGATTCAATTAATGTACATAGATGCAACTGCAACGGCAACGGCAACAGCAAAAGACAAGTGGCCGACAACAAGAATAGTATAAAGAAGAATGGCTATGTTGTTGGTGGCATAGAACGCGCCAATCTTCCTTCGCTACAATCTTCAGCTACTATTTGTGTTGTTTCCCCCAATACCCCTTCATGTGAACATGGTAGGATCGTTGATCGGGGTAGGGTTCGGTCAAATAGTAACGGGTTTGTGGAGGGATTGGAAAGTAATGTGAAGGATAACGGATCTGGGGAACTAGCTGACGTCTGTACAATTAAGAATCTGGATACTGGGAAACAGTTTGTTGTTGATGAAATCAAGGAAGACGGGATGTGGAACAAGTTAAAAGAAGTTGGGACAGGGAGGCAGCTGACGATGGAGGAGTTCGAAATGACTCTGGGTCGTTCACCGATCGTGCAAGAACTCATGAAAAGACAAAATGGTGTAGCTGGTACAAGGGAAAATCATGATTCTGACCCTGTTGGAGGTACTGAAACTGGACGGTTGGATTTGAAAAAGAAAACTAGCTGGCTGCGAAGTATCAGAAGTATCGCGAAGAGTATTAAAGGTCATAAAGAGAGAATGAATGATGAAAGGGATGCACGTTCTGAGAGAGGAGGTAGGAGGTCAAGTTCAGGTAACGATGAGAGCTTGGATGTATTTCAGGGCCCCAAGAAAGTGCGAGTAAAGCAATATGGCAAATCATATAAAGATTTGACTGCCCTTTATAAGACTCAGGAGATTCAGGCGCATAGTGGCTCTGTTTGGTCCATTAAGTTTAGTTTGGACGGTAGGTATTTGGCAAGTGCAGGGGAGGATTGTCTAGTCCATGTTAGGCAGGTCGTGGAAACCGTGAAGAAAGGAGAGTCTGTGCTGGGAAAGTCGGAGGTTAGGAGCCTTAATTGGCTCATCGCCGTAAATGGGTCTCCTGAACCTATATTCCTGTCATCATCTGCTGATGGTGACGCAGTTAGAAGAGGGCGGTCATCTATAAGCAGGAAATCTTTGAGCTTAGAGCACATTGTTCGGCCGGAAACTGTGTTTGCACTTACAGATAAACCTATTTGCTCATTTGAAGGGCATCTTGCTGACGTGCTTGACTTGTCCTGGTCCAAGTCTCAGGTTGGTAACTGCATTACGATGTTGAATTTTTTTGCTACAGTTCACATCTTGATCAACGGTTGTTACATGTCTAGCTCTAACTTGGTTACATTTTTTCCCCTTCTTTATATATGGAGAGCAATTATTTTTGTTTCTTAGTCCCCTGTTAGATCTGTTAGCTCTTTTCAATGTGCTATTGTATAATGGCGAGAAGTTTGTTTCAAAGGCTTCATGCTTATCACGTACCAGTAGTTCTATTCGCTGCAGCAAATCAGTCAACCCTGTCCCTTCTATTTCAGACAGAAGGAAGCCATTAGTCAAACCAGGTGCAAACATCTGGTTTGATCTTATGTTTATTCATCTGGTTTGATCTTACCTTGAACTACGTCTTTGCTTTTCTTTCATTAATGCACCACACCTTATAAAGAAAAATATTATAATGCTTAGTTTTCAACAAACAGAAAAAGTGAACTGTTAGATTCTTTCTGGACAAGATTGGCTAATCTGATTTTTATGATAACTTTTTTTGTAGGCTATTAGTAGTCTAATCTTATTTCCCACTTACTGGCATTTATATTCAGCGTGGAATGTTCTCTAATATTCCATGCATTGGATCCTCTAGCAAAAAGTTGGTCAGGCGTCATATCTTATCTTGTAGTTTGTAAATTAGAAATGAAACTGTAGTTTGTAACTCCCGAATATTTTTACTAATTGTGGTGATCTGTTCGGATTAATTTAGTTAGAGGAAAACATCAGTTGGCTAGGATTATAGAGTATCCACAATGCGCATTTGCTAGCCAAAACGATACTATAAAAGGTGAATTGTTCTCTGGTTCATGGAACAGAATGTTGACTTTTTTTTTATAAGGTCGGAAGTGTGGAGAAGTTTAAGAACTGTAGAAACCTCCCTTATAACTGAAGCTTGATGTTGTAAGTAAAGGGGCTGGCATAATTCATTTGAAGACAAAGTTACCTAAACCTGATGGCCTTTACCGAGGAATTGTATTTCTTGACAACAGAGAGCATTCCTGTCGGTTATGAAGGACAAGTAGTTCTCATGACATAATAAGATTTCGACATGGGTTTTGGGAAATTACTACTGAAACAGTAAGCTTTGGCTCATTGCAAGGAAAACAGTAAACACCTTTATTTCTGAACTGTTAAGAGTTGGCTTATGTTTGAGAGTCTACTTTTTAGTATGCTGTTTTCGTGCATAAATCATTGAAGTTCTGCACGTAATGCGTTAATTTGTTATAAACAGATAAACCATATTAGGTCAGGAGTAGCCAGGTTCTTTGAAAAGATACTATAATGTTCTCAAGTTACGGAAGGAGTTCACTGGTACTCACTTCTGTTGACTTCAAAATCTTATTTCAAGATTAAACGTATTTATCTATGAAAACTATCATAGGATAGTTCCTGACCAAATTTTGTTGTTCGTTGTCCAGCTCCTCCTGTCTTCCTCAATGGACAAAACAGTGCGCTTGTGGCACTTGTCTAGTAAAACTTGTTTGAAGATATTCTCACACAGGGATTATGGTACGTATTTTCTCTTTAGTCCTATGTCTGTCATATGCATTTCATGCATAATCTGGACCAGGGTTGACTTCTTCCTGAATTGTTCTACACTGAAGGGTTGTATCTAGACTGACCTAGTGTAAGTTGGAGTGGGAAGAGGTCTGAAGATTTATCCTTAACTGATTTGTTAGAGTAATAAAGATAATTTGGTAATGAATGGCCACTTGCCAAATTTAAGCGTGATTATCTACATAGTAGCATACTCTGTAAGAAATACTTTTATGTTGAATTTTCCTTGAAAGCCCTTTTTTTTTCTTTCAACATTTTCTCATGGCTAGTATATGCTGTTCATTCCAATTGTCCCTGCAGTCACCTGCATACAGTTCAACCCTGTCGATGACAGATTCTTCCTTAGTGGCTCCCTAGATGGAAAGGTTCGCATATGGAGCATTCCTGATGGTCAAGTTGTTGATTGGAATGATTTACATGAGATGATCACAGCTGCTTGCTATACTCCAGATGGCCAGGTAGGAAAATAGCTAATGTGTTCAGCCTGTGCAACATTCAACTGCACTTAGTTATGCTAACAGGACACTTCTGTTGGTTTCCGAAGGGTGCACTAGTTGGCTCATACAAGGGAAGTTGCCGGCTTTACAGCACAGGTATAGAACTTGATCCGACTCCACTTCTCCGCTGAATTGTTAGTAATTTCTTTCGTATTATGCTTCCCTTCAGAGAATAAGCTGCAGCAGAAGTGCGAAATCAATCTAGAGAAGAAAAGGAAGAAATCTAATTATAAGAAAATTACTGGGTTTCAGGTAATTTTTTCCTTCTTCTGGGGACATCTCTATGATGATCCATAGAAGAACAGATGAATGTTTGTTTCTCATTCATTCTTCTACTTTAGTTTCTGGCATGATGCGTGCTTGTGATGTATATCACGCCATGTTAACCATTTGAATGTTGCTCGCTTCTCTTAACAGTTTGTCCCAGGAAGCTCGTCTGAAGTGCTTGTCACCTCAGCGGATTCTCGGATACGAGTCATTGATCACATTGATTTGGTGCACAAGTTCAAAGGTAAAAGTGCTGGACAGATTTTTTACGTGGGAATATAAATTCATTTATTGAAACGAGTCTTAGGCGATGTAGGGTAGGGATAGTAAAATTACCCATTCCCAAGTATGACGGACCGTTCTCAAACTGATTTGTAGGGGTGGGCAACAGGACGGGATACCCGTCCCGTTTTAAACGGGTACGCAGTCCCATTTGGAGATCAAAGTCCATCCCATATCCCAAACTCATATGGGAAACGAGTACCCATTACCCGTACGGGACGGATAACGGGTACCCATACTACCCATAAATACCCAAAGTTTAAATGACATTTTACCTAAAGACAATTAGTCAATTACATCCAAGCATTCATTTCAAAACACAAAATGGCTGCACAAGTAGCAACTTACACCAATTCCTACAACCCAAAGAAGGGATGATGATGAAGATGAAAAGGAATCAAGGAAGGGGAAAGGACCAAATAATAAAACCCAGAAAGAGAACAAGTTCTGCTTCCTGGAAAGTGCCATGATTCAATAATAATAATAATGTTGTTTCTACTCAAATCAATCCTCAGTTTGGCAAAATAGGGTGGGGAAGGTGGTGAATTTTGCAGCAGCAAGCAAGGGTGCTCCCACACTTTCCCACTGCCATTACTTCGCCATTACTTCGACCTTTCGTCTCTTCTCTCTCGTCCCGCGAAGACGACTCCTCCAGCCAGGGACAAGACACAAGACAGAGACAGACCTTTCCAAATTCCAGAGAAGCTGCCGCCTGTCGTCGCGTGTCTCGCGTCTTCTAGGGCCTAGGGGTGCGTCAGCGTCTCAACTCTCACGGGCTGAATTAAATGGATTTTGTAATTTTAATGGATTTTGAATTGGGTTGGGCATGGGCGCATGGGCTGAATTATATGTCTTTGTAATTTGAATGGGTACAACGGGTACCCATATTACCCAAACGGGTATTCGCGGGTAACCCGCGGGTACCCATATTAGGACTATACAATCCCAAGTCCCATCCGTTTAAAATATTACGGGTAATATGAGTACTCGTAACCCTTAAAAAACGGGACGGGTACGGGTATACCCAAATACCCGTTTCTCGTTGCCTACCCCTACTGATTTGTTTGGGTAAAATCAAATTGACATGACATTTGGGTGGATTTCTCCATAAATAAAAATAATGGTTTTGATATTTTTAACTATCCACAAATAAACCAATCAACAATGTAGTACTTCAAAAAGTGCTAGACATAAGGTGGGTGGTGGGTGTCGGCTGTTGGGATCTTGCTTAGCACCTTGCATTGTAAACGAAAATAGTGGTTTAATAGAAATAACGATCTTACATCATTTGTGCACTTGGGTTCAAATAATCAGTAATATTTCCAAACTTGAGTAACAAGCAAAATATGTCACAAATTTCTAAACTCACAAGTTTATAGAAATTGGTGAATCAAATTTTTTCAAATTATTTTTCGATGAATGAGTGATTTTATTCATCCAATACAATCAGTATACAAGCAGTTTTTACATAATAGATAATCTGAAACCAATCTCCAAAAAATGTAACTAACAAACCATCTAATCAAACAGCAAAGATAGTATCTACATCAACTCCTCACTTTATACCACAAGACCTAGGAGGCAGGAGAATCTGCAAATCTCTGATCCCCCTGCACTTTTGCCTCCTTAATACCCTGCAATTTTCGAACCAAAACTTTTGTTATCATCTGTTTGCCTCCATACAACCTGCGACAGCGCTCCCTACAAACTTCACTCAGAACTAAACACCATAAGACTCTACCAACTCTGTATTTTCCCAACTTCTGATTCGCCTGTAACAAAGCTTGGTGCAATGAATCCTTCAGAGGGATCTGCCAAAAACTAGGGAAAATTGATCTCCACATCTCCTGTACATACACACACAAGAAGAAGATGTGGTCTCTAGTTTCGTCTTCTCGACCACATAGTGGACAGGTAGTACACACTTCAAGGCTCCATCTCTGAATTTTATCTAATGTATTAATTCTATCAATAAGGTTAAGCCAAGTGAGAACTGAGTTTTTAGAATACCACCTTTCCAAACTAACCCAGACCATTGCTCAGACTCCCCTCTTGGTCGGATAATTTGCCACACTTTGCTAATATGGAATATCTTCATTATCTCCCCTTCCCATTCAACACCTCGGTCCATCCTGCACAATCTTCCTTCAATTACATCTATGATTTTTAGTATCTTGTTGCATACCTAGGAGCCTCGTGTTTTGACTTCCCAGATGCTAAGATTACGGAGTCTATACTCCTTAAGCCAAGCAATCGAGAGAGTCTCCATTTTTTTATTTGGCAATAGTTATTTGTCTTTCCTGATATCCGGTTTGTTGGGATAGTCAAGAGAATGTTGAAAATTGGTTCTTCCATTTCCCTCTTGCTATTACCCTATGGAATTTCGTGGGTTTAAGTGATTTGCTTGCCTCCACCCCAACCTTGCATAACATATCTAATGGCGATATGTTATGCTTTCTGTAAACTTCCAAACCTGCATTCTTTGCGGACTGCCAACTGGATTGCCCATAGAGTGGCACGTAAAGTTATGCTGTGGTCTTCTTTAGAGTTAGTGTCCTTTAATTTTGTAGGGTGGCTTCACTAAGTGTTTTCGGAAAAAAGGTAGAAGGTCGAGTCAAAGATATGCAACGACGAGAGGGTTGTGAGCTTTTTACTACTAGATGCCAATGTAGTCAAAAGCGAGTTTCTACGTATAAACATTTTGGTGATCTAGAAGCGTAAAATTGGTGATCTAGAAGCGTAAAATCGTAAGTTTTTAAGTTTTAAAACGGAGTTTTTAACTACATAAGTTGTAAAAACTTAGATTTTGTGTAGAAGCGTTTTAGTGACCTAGAAACGTAAAATCGTAAGTTTTTAAGTTTTAAAGCGCGATTTTGACTACATTGCTAGATACTAGTAGTCGAACACAACAAATAGTAGCAAGGTAGAGGGTATGTCGAAGGGATGGAGCGACGAGGAGATTCTGGGCTTATAGTTGTTGAACACTGTCAGTGAGTCGACAATGATGAAAAGCAGTAGGGTGGAGGTTTGGTCTAAGGGAATGAGCGACAAGGATAAACAACTTTCTAGCTTAGAGTCAATTTGTAATTCCAAATTGAGGAGAGGACCGAAGTACGCATCAAGTTTAGTTTTTTTTTTTTTGTCATAGATAGTGGTAACGAATAGATAAAGAACAACAAACAAACGTGACAATCAATACTAATTGATCTGTCGATGAAAGAGCCATTTTAGCCAGTTTCGTTATTCCATAGCAATAAAGTGAAAATAAACACTAAAAAGGATGCAAACACCAGCCAAATGAACTGCCAACTCCAAAGGCTCCGCCAGAGAAGTCACCTGGAGTTGTGAAGTCGATCTTGGAAGCAAAGACCAAGGAATAAGTCTGATTACTTGTTGAATTTCCACCTTAGCATCCAATGACGAATCACCAATGTGGAGAATCCAATACTCGTAGAAGCATCCCTGCCACCCAAAATAGAGAAAACCAGACTAGGACCATAAAATGCAATAATCCATTAAAAGGATACAAAGCTCCATAAGCGACCATAAGGAACCTACAAAACAAGAAAACAAATAGATGACCCAGAGGAATCTTGTGGGAGTCGCTTGGACATCCTCACCCGCCGAGAAAACGAACTAAAGGAGATCCAACCGCCTAATCATGTCTCGTAACGCTTTATCACGATCGGGCACCACCTAGCTCCGTCTCATTATTATTAATGCTTTATTTGGTGGCTAACTCCTAGGAGAGACATTTTGATAGTGCCTTGCGTCTAGACACACCTAGATATACGTGGAATTACACATTCTTGAACTATGGAAGCAAGCATACTTTGCACCTTCTAATTTCATAATTTAGATCATCAGTATCACTCAACAATTATGTTTATCTATCAGATTCCAGTTTTTGCTAATTCTCCTTCATTTGTCCAAATAATATCTTAAAATAATCAATCAACATGACCATTTTAAGGAAATATTTACACTATACAAAGGCTGCTAATCAATTATGTATTTATCGGGTTAGTTGTCATCCTAATCGCTATACGCCTGTTAATGGTTTACGCTAAGGATATGGCGTGTAGGCTAAAGGCATAGATTTTTTGGTTAGCAGTTTATAGCTAATCGACAAATTCATTAGCATTAATCGATATGACTAACCACCAACACAAATTTTTAAATTGGATTTGGAATATGAATTTATGGTTGTTGATGGATTTGAGCCACTGATCTTATTCGTTTTAATTTCCTCTGTGATAACAATGATCAATAATGATTAAATTTGTATTGATTTTGTATACAATTTTAAGCAAAACAAAAATACATTAAACTGAGTAAAATTTTATGCTAAGAATGATGAAAAAAGTGAATAAGGGAGTGAAGGACTGATGTATTGGTACTAATAATAAAACAAGTTCATATCTCACCTTTATAAAAAAGAAACATTCCAAAAAAGAGGGAAGAAAGTGTTATTTATATTTTTATGAATTGCGGCCGGACTTGGTTGAGAGTGATTTGTACCATTTATTGTCACCCGTATTGACTTGTTGAATTGAGGAATCGTTTTCTTGTTAGATCTGATACTGGAGTCGACAGTGGCTTATATGTGCCATCTGTGATTTCTATAAGGGGATCTGAGATAAATCAGAAAGCGAAAGGTATGCTGCCTGTGGCTATATTTGGACGGTAAATACATTTCGTAGTGGGATAAGTACCAGATGGAGAAAGTGAGACTTAAAGTTTAGCATAAAGGCAACAGGTGCTCAATACTAGTAAATTTTTGTTCATCGAATCAATAATAATACGACGGTTCAATTGAAAGATTGCTTATTGAAGCCCAAGCTGGTATAGAATTATATTGATATGAAATGGTTGATTCACGAAGAAATCATGATTTACCACAAAATCATATATTTTATGCAACATTAGGTATCGGTTTTACAATCATGCCAATGTGAAAAAGAAGAAGAAATGTTTTAAGTGATGTTAGGGTATAAAGACGAATTATAGCACTTCAATACTAATTTGAGCTATCTTTGGTTATTCTCCTTTCACATTGGTTGATAGTCGACAATGCCCACTCCCAAATATTTAGTAAAGCAATATTATACCATCTAGAAGCGCTTAGAATTTCATAAACACATTCTATTTGTGGTTTACACGTCCTGTTTTGGCTTTTGTTTTTTCGGTTGCTCTGTTATTGAACTTGTATGACTCAGTTGGAAGCAAGGAAAGAGAACTGATATAATAATGGTGGACAGTGGGGTGGCATGTGGTAGATGCGCTAAATGAGGCACACAGGAACATGTCTTTATTAATGCGGATTTCCCGAAAGCTGAACTAGATGCGAATCTATATAATCTTCATAGAAAGAAGTAAAAGGGACTTCTTGAAAATAAGTAGTGTTAAGTGAAAGAAAAACGTGTTAAATTAGAACAGAAATATGTGCAAGAAATAAGTAGTAAAAGTGAGAAAAAGTTGATGAGCTTTTTTTTTATTGGAGGTTGTTGATGAGCAAGGCCGCATAAGGTATGTCCATGGTATTTTCTTGTCATTAATGGCTCGAAGCTCTCCTGACTTATTTAAAATGCCAATGTCACAGGGTTTCGTAACACAAACAGCCACTTCACAGCTTCCCTCACATCAAATGCAAAATTTGTTGTCTCGGCAAGTGAAGGCTCCAATGTGTATATATGGAAGCATGAGGCTAATTGGCGTTTGACGAGAGACAAAGTTGTTACAGTTACACAATCATATGAGCATTTCCGTTGCCAAGACGTATCCGCAGCCATTCCTTGGCTAGGAACTAGTTGCACTGGGGCAGTTCCTGAGACTTGTTCTGGTTTCCGATATGGTCAGGACAACCATCTTGATGAAGTCTCCATCACCAACCATCCACTTATACCCTTTCAGGAAGTTCTTACGGGCGACCTTTCTCCATCCTTATCAGGTTGCACGAACAGGCCGCATAACCAAATCATTTCTGGCCCAGCCAGCGGTCGAATTTACGAGAGAATTTCAGCAACATGTCCCCAGGAAAAACTTAATTTAGATGCTGGAACACGTAGACCTCAAACTACTAGTCATGTCACAGATGAGTTCACAAACCAACGTATGTCAGCTTATGGTATGGTGATTGTCACCGCTGGTCTCCGAGGTCAGATTAATGCCTACCAAAATTTTGGTTTACCAGTTCCAACCTAATATCGCTAGAGCCTAAAGAGGGACGAGGTAAAGACCGGAGATGAGGACAAGATGGCCAGCCAGTGGTATTCTTTCAACATTATGGTTGGACAAATCGGTACAGGAAAATTGGTAACTTTGTATGGGCAGATTTCCAGTTTCCCGTTTCTTTTTGTACTTGCTGTCGATTAGGGATAGCAACTTTGCTCATACCCATGGGTGTCTTACTATCCAATCCAATTGGGTTGGATATGAAATCCAAATAGATGGATATGGGTAGAGTTTGATGGGTTTGTACCCATGCCCAAATACAAATTACAGTTTGGTACCCAAACTTAATAGACATGCATGTTTAGTACCTAAATTTAATTTTTTTTGCATATAAGTCCTCAAAATATCGATGGAAAATTACGTTTTGGTACCTAAAATTTTTGGTCTTACATTTTGGTACCTAAACTTTTCAAGTTTTGCAAATAGGTCCAATTTTTGCATGTGTAGTTAAAACACCTTCAAGTAAATGGATATCCATATCCAACCCATACTCATTTAGATTATGGAAACCCCAAACCCAAAACCCATCTATAAACTCCCAAATCCATATGCACTTCACCCATACCCAACCCATTATCAATGGGTCTACTTGGGTTTGGGTATAATTACCCATGGGTGGGTAATTTGTCATCCCTAATGTCAATTGTCAATTCAATTAAAACTAGTTATTTAGCCCGCGCTACGTAGCGGATTATTTTATATGATGTATTTTTGTTAGTAAAAATTAAATATCATAATACATTATAATTTCTTTACTTTAATTTTTTTAATCTTTTTATCAAATCATGTGGAGTCTTTTTGCAAGTAAAACTATTTTTTCATGATTTCTTAAAATTTCGAATTACTTTTCAAATACTAAGACCTTGATATAGATGGTAAGATCTTACTATGTTACTTATGATTTTAGAATGGCCAAAATTATCCAATCTAACCATAGAATTGGTAATTGATTTAAGACATTTGATTTTACTCTGTAAAATTTGTCTATATTTTCAATAACTTCATATCCACTCCTTTCGAAAAGAATAATAATTTTATAAATACAGGTATCAAAAGTCATTGAATGGTAACCCTACACCGACACAGTAAAAATTGGCTGGACATTTTCTAGCTTGCATCCAACTCAAATTAGCCACCCTATATGGTCCTCGATTAACATATGCAGGCATTTTGTATGATACATTGTTCATTCTATACTTTTAGAGATTGGCCTTCAAACATCTATAAAGTTTGACTTCTAAATATTTTTTTTCCAGTAATTGTTGTGTTCTCATATTTAGTTCATGCTTGTTTAATCAAGTTTTTCGAAAAAATACAACTGTTCAAAGACAGTACAACAACGACATCATGCTACTCAAATTCTCTCCTACCTTCTGATCACAGTATCACAAACAGACTTCTAAAAATGGCTCTCAAATTGAGGACATATTTCTGCATCAGCTATCTTCATCATTTATAAATGGAGCTGCTTCATGAGTTAAATGCCAGATACAATAACAGAAAACTCGCCTCAGACAACATATAAACTAAAGAATAAGAAACTATTTGACTAATTCACTATTGCAATAACAATGGTGAGGCCGAATGAGAGCATGCACTCTTCTATAATGCGGTTAACATAATTTTGCTCTACTTTGCACAAACTTCTTTCTGGTACGTAGCAGTAAGCCAAGAACCATAATAAGCATGTTCCATCTCTAACAATTGGCCATCTGAATGGCTCGGCATTTGCACCCTATTATTTATAAGATACATTGGGGAAAGAAACAATAACTAATATACAAAGAAGGTTTACTAAACTTTGATGGGATACAATCTTTGCAGATAGTCCATATGCAAGAAAGTACGTTCCAGAAAAAGTCCTTATGCATGTCAGCATTGACTTGTCGCTTTAGAGAACAGCGAAGTCAAATGGGAGAATGGAATTTGAACCCCTCTGCTTTGGTCTCAAACCACATTCTCTGCTTTAGGCTGCTTTCCTAAGAATGCTTGAAATGAGGAAAACGGTGGAGAAATAGCAGCAGAAGCATATAAGTTCATAAGTTATAACTCTTCTTTAGCCATCGAATCGAAACTAAGGACTACTCTTAACCCAACTTTTCACGCTTGGAAAAGTGAAAACACCATGTATTGACTGAAAACACATTAACTAATAATAACATCAAACTCGTGGAGAACGTATCGCAATGAATTCAACCACGAAAAGGGGAAGCTAAAAGAGTAATACGAGAAAGCTATCAACTCTCATCCAAGGTATGCTAAACCGAAGTTTTTCATTGTGGTTAGACTATTGGTAAAGATAGATTGACATTGTATTTTCCATCTCAAGAACCAACTTTAGTCGCTATTTCAATCTAACTGGCAGACTTGGAATTACAGAAAGAAGTCTATGTGGAAGTATAAAACAAAGTGAAACAACATGAATTCTCGCTACAGAAAACTGAAGTATAATCCATTGATTTGGGAGAACTAAAGTAACCAAGGAAAGAAAAGTAAAGATATCAAAGTTTTCATAACCTAAAATATATAAGATTAGATGAAATGCAGAGTCACTCTTGCTCAATTCTGCAACTGGGTATCTATTACACAAAAACCAAAAATTCACCAATAAAAAACCGTCGGTTTTCATTACCCCTATAGTTCAGCTAGTATGAATTATTTGTACACAGAGAATAGAAAATGAAAGTGGCAACTTTCAGAATACCTATAATGCATAATGAATAAAGGCTAGATCTCTAGGAATCAATTGAGTCAAAATGAAAGTGGCAACTTTCAGAATACCTATAATGCATAATGGGTAAAGCCTAGATCTCTAGGAATTAATTGAGTCATTAACGTATAGGACTAAATCTCTAGGATTCAATTATCTAAGTCCATAAGTAGAAACTAATGTTGGGCAATGTAGTCAAAAGCGTGTTTCTATGTAAAAGCGTTTTGGTGATCTAAAAGCATAAAATCGTAAGTTTTTAAGGTTTAAAGCACGTTTTTAACTACATTAGCTATAAAAACTGAGTTCTTGTGTAAAATCGTTTCAATGACCTAAATGTGTAAACTCGTAAGTTTTTAAACTTTATAGCGCGATTTTGACTACATTGATATTGGGTTCCAATGCAAAAATCAATGCTGCGAAAAAGCTAACTCTTAAGATTTACCACCCACTCTATAATCTGAAAACCTACTCGGATTCCATTCCATCAACCAAAAAGAATCAAGCAGGGCAAGATAAATTGGAGCATCAATGTGCTATTCGATCTGATCAAGCTCATGGGTAAATAGAAGTATAGAACTGATCAGGCTCATGCGTAAATTGAAGCATCAATGTACCAAGATTGATGTTTTCCCCTCAACTTCGGCAAGATAAATTGGATCATCAATGTGCTATTTGATCTGATCAAATAAAAAGAACCAAAGAAATCTCTTGTTCCTAATTATCTTAAATGGTAAATAAGTAGTTAATCATGAACTACAAACCCTGATATGAGGCACTGGAAAGTGGGAACCACAATGTGCTACGACAACATCTAACTCAAACTAACTACCAATCACCCGAGACAAAAATCAATTATCAAGTCATCAAGATACCGTATGATTTAGAATCTTAAACCACTAACTTGAACCACCTACCTTCACCGTCTATCCACTGATGGAGAGGTTTGAACCGTCAATGCAATAGTGCAACAATACCCAAGATATCTTGTAGTCGGCACCAAATCGAGGAACCTCGAGAAGTTGACAGCTCCAGCTCTAGTTTTCTTTTGGAAGCCGTTGAGCGCGTTCAGAGAGTAAGCCTCCTAAACGATCTCTGCCCTCTGATGGAGCCTAGATCCGGCAAGCGCTAGATCGTTCTTCCTCTCTGGCAGGTGAGCACCTGCGCAGTGCGCCGGTTATTTCTTAGAATTTCGTTTCTACGATCTTCTCGCTCTTACCTGGTCTTCTTCTTCTTTCTCAAGTGATCAAGAGGCCTATGGCCAGCAGGTTTTTGATTGAGATTGGGCGGAAGACGAATGGGGAGGAAAGTGAATTTTTTTTAACAATCGGTAGTAAGTAGATTGAATGGGGAAAAAGGAATGAAGAGAAGAGGAAGGGACGCACGAAAAAAAAAGAGGATGGTACGGTTCAGGTGCGGCCGTTTTTACATAAGCCCCATGCGTAAGAAGAAATATAAGAAAGCTCAACGACCCAGCTTGTCCAGCCTAATGTGGTGGACTTGAGCTTAGCTAAAGCTGACCGCAGGCGATCAGAAAATCCCTCCGTGAACAGTGCATTCTGATTTTTTCTTAAGGAACAGTAACTTTTATTTTTGGTAATTTTTTAGAACTCGTGACTTAATAATTCTAATTTTTTAGAACTCGTGACTTAATAATTCTAATTGGGATTCAGCGGAAAATAAAAAACTACGATAAAATCTAAATGGTGAATGGAATTGTAAAATTGTAGCACTTATTTAACACTTAAGAGTTAGCCGTTTTCGACAACAAAAAACATTTAAGAGTTAGGACAATACTAAAAAGAGGAATTTTACTATGCTATATAGGATTGGTGCTGTAGGTTTTTGCCTTTATGGTATAATTTGAAGTTATACCTTTAACGTTATGGTACAACTTTAGATTGTACTTATACTCTTTTGTACAAATTCCTTCATGGTACAACTTGAACTTGTACATTTATGTGATTGTACAAATTTAAGTTGTAAAGTTTTATCATAACATAAGGGTACAAATTCCTTTATGGTACAACCTAAACTTATACATTTAACGTTATGGTACAACTTCAAGTTTTACATTAAAGCACCCAAACTTTAGAGCATAGTAGAAGTGCTCTACTAAAAAAATACATATATCTAAATGTGTAGATACAAACCAAAAAAAGTTATCTATATTTTAAATTGCTAAGAAATCATTTAAACTAGCAATTAAGTCAATCAATTAAACTTCTAAGTAATAAAAAAAGTCACGAGGTAGTTGTGACTT